TTTACAAGTCTCATACGACTGTAGTATTGTGGTTAATCATATGTATTGGTTTCCTGCCAGATTTAGAAAAACTCAAAAGCATAAGCCTTGACTTAACAATCTTTGTGTCCCCAGTTTCTAATGGTTTGATTTTATCAAAGCAATATATGTATGTGGTTTTAAAAGCCCTATAGCACTAAAAATCTTTCCTGCTCCATCCCTTCTCAAATGTCAGTCATGTGATAACACATTGGTCAACTTCATAAGGGCATTAAAACATATTTGAAAATGTTATAGATTATAGATACAGATTGTATGTGGTTGTTTTTAGGGGCCATGGAGTCAGTTACAACCCATAGCAACCCTGCACAGGGTTTCTGAGGCTGTAAATCTTTATGAGATCAAAAAGCCTCATCTTTGTCCCACTGTAAACCTTGCACTTAGCAGCCCAACTATGCTACCAGGGCTCCTTATGCTAGCACTAACCTATTGAATTATGGTTAAGGTTTAATAATAGTCTTTTTCTAGTTCATATTCCATTGATCATTTCTCACCTAATACTCAGATATGTTTGGCTTCTTTTCCTTTCTTTTATGGTTCCTAACCAGGGTACTTATGGATGATTGTGCAGGGTACAACTGAACAACTCTATAAATACTCCTTCCTGTATAATGTGCAACTTGCACAGCCCCAGATACACCCTGATCACTTGCATGTACTTTTCTTGCTCATGTTTCCTTCTCCTCAAAAGCCCTTCTTTTGTTCTGCTGTCAAACTCCTCGTATTGCAAAGCCTGATTTACAGATAAACTCCTCATATGGCACCTCTTCTGTCACTGCTTTGACTAGGAAAAAAAAAAACTCCTCCTATTATCCCGAAGGTCAGAGTCCTGGTGTGGTGCCATCTAATAAGCACTCAACTGCAAGGTCAGTTTGAACCGCAAGGTTGGTGGTTCAAGCTCACCAATGTCTTCTCAGAAATTATACAGTGTCGCTGTGAGTTGGAACCATTCCTTGGCATTTAACAACAAAATCCTGAAGAGCTCTAATAAAATGTAC